CCCATCCTTATGCTGTCCTGAGTGGCTAGGTCCAGTCCTGCTCCAATGTTCAGAGTCTTAACCACGAATCCATCGACCCATAGTTTTGCATTACCGGTACTGTTGTCGTATGTAGCGCCAACAAACTTCCATCCACCCGCTAGAGCGGTGTGCAATAGGTGGGTGGTAAGTGAGTAGTCGCGTTTTGTGAACCGAACAAACAGTTTACCGCGGAAAACCCATAGGTGTACTCCCCAGGCTCCATCGGGCATGTAGTTAAAGAGAGGTCCGTCTTGGCCGTTGTAGTACACCCAACAAAGCATTGTCATGGAGTAACGAACGTCAAGTGGTCACCCTTCGCTGTTAGAAAACTCGATAAAGCTGTTGGGAGATCTGGAAAATTGGTACGAGCCGCCAGCTACCCCGTTGGGCCCGAGAGCTAAACAAACTTCAAAGGGGACCCCTGCAATTATTCTGTTGTTGATCTCCCTGGTTTCAAAAGTGGAATTGAGAGGAAACAAGGCCACAGGATCTGGAACTCGATGAAATAAAGCAAACTACAAATTTAAGACAAACTAGGGTTTTAGGAATAATTTTCGGCAAATCTTACAAATTGGATCCATAATGTAAAAGGATCAAGATGTCCTCACCCAACAAAGGTCACAGAGATCATCCAATTAGCTTTCTGTTTAAAGAACCAATCACTGTCGGATTTTGTATGCGACATTAACTTAAATCAACATACTCTAGTTTAGTTCACGGAACTTGTTCTCTTGGTGAGCTGTTGTTAATAGCTATTTCCAAGCAACTGACGGAGGATCCAAGTTAGTTACGAAACCAGACTTGCTGTCATAGCTGAGCTAAACATACGTTCTCCTTAGAACTTAACCACGGCACACACAAAATCTGGTACCAAGGATCAGTGCCACTTTGCTTATAACACGGAAAGCTTCGCTCCGTACTGAAAACTATGCCGTTACTCAAACAAAAGCAAATTCTCAATCAGCTTAGGATTGCATCTTAACGAGAAGGAAAGTTTTGTACGGTACATTGTAGTCCTCGTTGGATATGATACTGATCATTTATAAACTCCGATCCTTCTAAGCCGCAAAGTTGATCTAAATCTTGCGAACGCAGAAGCTGACATAAGGCTCGTAGACTTATACGTTAACGGCGATACATGTGGCACAGTTTGGCACAGTTTTTATGTCATGTTTTTGTCACCATCTAGCAGCGAAACAGTTTGCTCAATATCGTGCATATCTTGAAATTTCCTAGTCTGATTTAAATATGTATATGAATGATAATATAAAGAATATAGCCAATTTTAATTATGCAAAAACGGAAAGGCCACCCTGTATAGCGAGGAGAGCCTCCTTTTTTCTTCTTCTTGATCGAGAAAGAGGAAACAAGGATCTACCTGAACGGCGTCAATCCTTTGAACACAAACTTCTAAAAAGAGTGAATCTTGTTTTCTCTCGTCAAACTGGTTTTTCGATTAAAAGGCATCCGTTTATTGATAAACACTTAAAACTGAGGGCAATGCTGTTAGAACAACTAACGGTTAAAAATTTATAAACAGATGGTCACAACTGGGCCCGCTGTACCATTAGGAGCACGGCTCTTAGACCTGGGTTGGAAAATGTTTCCTAACAACATACAGCGCATACTCAACAAAAATCACACTTGATTCATGCAGAGTCTTCTCGAATACGCCAAAATTGAGCAAGTGAAAGAAGGGTTCTGCTGAAACGCCCTTTAGCCTGATCTTAACAATGTTCTGAATGTCATGCGGATATATGACGTTCTTCGGTTACGGGGAAGGTCACCTGCTGAAATTTTTAAACTGTCGTTAAATCTTTCCCTTGCGCATTTAAGGAGACAAAGTGCCTGTTATGAATTAAAAGGAGATTTTACCCCCGTAATGCTTAAGGACATATTTCACGACAGCTTGAAAATCTCGAAATTTACAAGGATTTGTATGGAAAACCATTCAAGCGTGACTTGGTGGCAAATCTCATACAAATCCTTCTAATTTTCGGCTGCCGTTGCAATCGCTACGGCTGAAAATTCACAGGTTACCCAATTTTAATATGCTCTTTAAGCACTTTTTTCAAAAGCGAACTGTTCTCGTGTTTACGTATCCCATCATCCTTCTCTCCCGTTCACTTGTCTCCAGTTCTCGCGTGTTGTTATTATTTGATGAGGTTAAGCAAAATAATTATCGTGATTTGTCATGATCAGTGGCAAACAGATCAATTATTTGACGATCCCGACGACTGAGGCAAATAATTGATCCGCGAGACACTGGTACAGTCACTATATTTTTCGATACCCGAGTTCGATAATTGCTTTATCATTCGATCACCTTAATTGGCCAGTTTATAGGATCTACCCCAAAACTGAAAATGACAAACTGGCTCACAAGTTGGATCTTTATGGTGGGAGATAGCCTTTTTAAACAAATAAGTGACAATTAATGTCGTGGCTTTTAAACAGGAAGTAAACACGGAATATTTAGTAATAAAAGATCAGGTGATTCGGTGAGTGGAGGCAGCGGGGGGTTGGTGGTTTCTGTATACAGGCTATAGTGTTTCTCAGTTTTGGCCTTAGGGAGACAAAAACAAAAATGTAAATATCTGTTTTTTCAGTTATTCTTTGTGTTGTTTATTTTTATTCATTCTCTCTTCCAGTTTGGACAACCGAATATTGTCTTAAAAGATTTATGTAAATTGCCGGGGAAGGCGCGGGAAATTCGCTGATCAAAATAGTGCGGGCTCTTTCTTTTTGTCACGTAATACTTGGTTGTAAATCATCTTGATTGAGAGTGACAGAGATCTTCGAACAACTTGTATTTGAAAAAAAAAAAGATAGGAGGAGATAAATATAGTTATAGAGACAAGCAGGACCCTCTGAAAGCCTTTGGGAGGCAAAGAAGTGGATTGTAAAGAAATATTGTCTGGTCATGCAGCATACATTATAGTTTGGCGTAGGTCAACGGCGGTTAGTAAAACTAACACTATTCTTCTTTGTAATACTATTCTTTTTCTGAGGTTGTTGCCTAAACTTCATGAACTTTTTAAAGGCGTAATTTCTTTATCGCTAGAGGGAAGAATTTTTCATCATTGAACGTTGTTTTTAGATGTACGAGTTGACGTTGCTTTTATGACTGGCATATACTGGCGTGATTCAAAGCTTGTCAACAACCGCGCACCATGTGTCCTTGAAATCTCCCTTAAAACAGCTTTGTTTTGTCACAGTAGAGACCATAAGACTGGTTGAATAAAGGACTTCTGTATAGTTTAACTTGTAAGAAGAATAATCTCTGATTTTCTGAGAAAATTAAAACGAGGTCACAAACATAACGATTTTACCTTCGATATTTCGGTGACATACATCACTAATCAGTGTGAAATCTTTGATTTTCTTGCAAAATCTCGAACGTTTTAACCATGCATTAAACTCCTCAATTATCATTCTTGTATAACGGGCTGGAAAGTGCCGGTTTAGTAACTTCAGAGGCCGTTAATTGCTGAATTATTGGACAGGTGAAGTGGAAATAAGCTTGATTTAGGGGCAGTTTTCAAATGGCATCTGACGCCCAATAAAGGAAGAGCCAGGAAATGTTTTTTATGTTTATTATAGTCCAAAGGGTTGGTAGACAGGGAATAGCAAAATTATTGTCATAGCTTTCTGGCAAGGATAGATATCTGATCTCAAAAACAGCAAGTATTTGAATGGCTAAAAAGGTGGTCCCATATTCAAGGCCGGTGATTGACAAGCTGTCAACCAAATTGACTGAAACTTACATCCTTGCATTGGTCAAAGATGTATCAACATATATACAAACCTTCATAGTCTAAAGTTAAAAGCAGTTGTCCTGAGAGCTTTCTACTTTTGCCTGTTGTTAATGCACTTTTATTGGTAAAAAATCTAATTAAACCAGTTGGTTGGGCTATCTCCCACCATAAAGATCCAAACTGTGAACCAGTTTGTCATTTTGAGTTTTGGGGTAGACCCTTTAAACTGGCTAAGTTTCATTGAAATCGTAGAGATAGCATACAGACACTTGTCTGGTGCACCCATGGACTCACTCTTAAATAGCTAATAGGATAAATAACATTTCCAATCATACAAGGTGAATTTATGATTTACACTGTTTATGTAACATTTTGGTAGTGAAAGTTCCTAAGATTTGCAACCCTTCCCCGTTTAGGAAAACGTGTTTTGTGACGTCACTGACGAAGCGATGTCACGTGTTATTTGAAATCACGTTTCACGTGTTTTTTTTCCTTGAGACACATTTGTAGTTCACTTTTCAGGAGCACTGATGGAAGCAAACCGTTCTAAATAGCATTTACTAAAATATACGTATTTCATTAGGAAGTCATGCCTTAAGTGGCCTGAGAACTGGCAAGCGTAATAAGGCATTTTCATTTTTTAACTTGGCAACAAACTAAGCCTTCCAATATATTCAATCTTAAGGATTAAATAAAGAACTTGAATGAGAAAAATTGTTACTGTTATAGAAATATGATCACCCTCATCATCATCATCATCATTATTCTATTATTCTCGTCATGCTGAAAGCCCATTATGCCGGCATTATGCTTTCAATGAAAGCTAAAAGTAGTATAATTAGGATCGAATAAGCAAAAAAGTTCTTGGTAAAAGAAGCAAGACAGTAAAGGGATGTCTATTGTGCAGCAACTGCGACACTTACATACAACAACAACAACGATAACAACTTTATTACACATTAAACAAACATTAAGCAAATTAAAGTGAACAAGGAATTTTAGGCGGAAGGTGAAGAGGACAGGAAAGAAAACATAAGGAACAACAGTAGAAAAGGCGAAGTTAATAAATGTAGTCATACCCGTGCAATTTTCTCCTTCAAAACCATCACGGCAAACACAACGGTAGCCTTTATCCGTGAAGCCCACCTGACACAGGAAGTTCTCTCCCGGGCAAGGATTACTGTGGCAGAAATTCTGTTGGAGAGTATAATTTGATTTTACAGAGGAGATTAAGGCGTTCTCTTGCTATGCGCCATAAACCCTTACAAACCAAGACCTGAACTGGTCACCCTTAGCACTAACCTGTGTAACGGGCGCCGGTTTTGTTAGGGCGAACTGGAGAAATTTAAAGGACACGCACGCGCACAGGAGGAAAGAGGAGTTTTTTCCTCCATTTTGTAAAGACGGTTCCGTATTACTACTTAAATACATGTAGTGAGGAGACATTCAAATGTTCCATGTTTTATAAAGGTTGATTCATTCAGGTATTGTTGTATTGAGATTGAAGCAACTTCTGTCTGCCCGTTTGCAACAGCTTTCATCTCTTTAAAATGAATTCCCGTCAACTAGGTAACAACAACTCTCTTTGAATTTGATTTCCTCTTGAGTAACAATAAATAATGCAAAAATAGTAAAACTGGCCATTTTCATTATTTCATATCAAAAGGAGCATAAATAATCATCGCCTTTCAGTAAGGAAAATTCTTTATCCCTTGACATTAATAAACAAATTTCTTCGAAAAAAAAATCTTCTGATACCTCAACTGCATAGTGAATATGCCCTTCCTTGTCCTCCAAACCAGATTGCGATGAACTTTCACATGTAATGTTTTTCAACTCGCATATGCGTACTCCATGCTCGTCAAGAGGGCCCACATTGATGGACACGCAGTTTGGTTCTATGAAACATTTCACACGGCAACTTCCTTCATTGGCTACGTTCTCAGTTTTTATTACGTGACCCGGAAGTATTTTCCCGTCTACTGGTTCCTTGAACATCAAGATGCGATTGTATTCTGTCACATAGACCATAGAAAATAAATACAGTTGGACAAAGGCTTTTTAAATGTTAAATAAATTTTGTGCTGTTGCCCTCAAGAGGAGGAAATTTCTTTGGCAACGTTTTTTTACTGAAAGACTAACAAAGCTGAAAACGTCGTACTGACCGGCTGAACACAGGCAGTGTGCGTCACGAGGTTCCACCAATCAGAATGCGTCATTTGTAGAGTGATTTTCGCGCTTGGAAAGAGCCGTTTTTAGATCGAGGTATATTTGGTGAAATTTTCGCTTTATTCCAAGCTTGTGGAGGTAATTTCAACACTATACAGCCGTGGAAAGTTGTTGGAACACTTTATCTTGATAGCAGTTGCGTTACTCTTAAATATTTTAATATAAATTTGCTTTCTTGAGCGTTTGTGACAAGTTTGAATTGCTCGGTTATGTGTAAGCCGCCATGACCATGATTTGAGTGTTATTTTCGCCGTTCTTCTTGGATTCATTGGTGGTTACTGTTAGCGGTTTTATCGGATTATTTCGGTCGACGTGTTACTTCAACCTTTCTTCTCAGTAACTTTCGGGGTCTAGTTTCCCGTTATGAAGCGTTGAAAGTGTCTTGGAATGAAGAGATTGTCTCAGCCAAGTAAGCACAACTCTCTGGAAACGGGCTGACAAACTTGCCGAAGCGAAAGCCGACGTGAAGCAAGTAACGCAAAATCCAGGAAGAGTTTGTTTCATTTTAAACCAGAAAAGGTGAATAAGCTTGAATAATAGTGGTAACCTTTAGAAACAAAGCATTTTTCATAACCCAGGACAGAAATTGAAAGCGTGTCTTTAAAATAATTTGCTTGCAGTGTGTGCTACGTGTATGCAAATGTTCATGTAAACTTACGCGAGGAAATAAATCTCTACCAAAACATAAAACCATTATCGAGGATCTAGACAGCATCATAAAATATATTAAAACTGTGAGGTTAGGTTTAGGACAAAATCACAGCACTAAACAGTACTTAAGAGCTTCTGCCTGAGAGACCGGGGCAGGCTTGGAAATAGGGGTCAGCCGATTTGGCTCAAATTTGGTACACTTAGTTACTATGGAGACTTATGCAATATGCCAAAGTTTCAGCTCCATTGCTCTTACTTGGGCTGAGTTCTAGATGTTACCCTTTTTGGGGTCCCCGAAGGCTTTTTTTATAGCCTATTTTGGGCACTTTTCAATACTTTGATTACAATATCAGGGATATTTTAAGCCAAATATAAACTCAATTTTTATTATCTCTATCCCTAGGGGGTTTTATAGCAAAACATATGGATCAAAGAAATATTTCTGTTGTCTGTGAAATAATTGTTTAGTTAATGCTCTTAAAGACATTTTTAGTGAAACTGAAAATAACCCAAATTTAAGTCGGATTTACTTGAGTGCCCACTTTTGAAATAACACAATTCCGACATGAACAGAAAGTTTAGCCCTAGGTATGTAAAAAACAAGGAGAAAATACTAAGGTTACGGCTTTTTCACTGTGTGGCCTCGCTTTGAAGATGCTAATACAGCCACTTCCGGTCTAGTCTTTTTTCCCTTATAATTAAGCTTATATCGAGTATATTGGCCAAAACTTTCCGATAACTTAACCTAAATAATACTGTCTGTAGCACTTTTACTTTCTTATTCCACCTGAACGCTAAAATTGGCAAAATATGAATATGTACGGCTGGAGATGCTCACAAAGTCACTTCCGGTCCAACAGTTCACATGAGAGGATGGTTAAGTGAGGCATTTTTATATTCAAAAAATCTGTTTGGAGCTCTTTCATTTGCACATATTTCTAATTGCACTTAAAACTAAAGTTGGTTAAATATAGATATTCTCTCAGATTGCATCACTTCATCTAATTCTGGCTTCCTTTTGTGGATGGGTGAAAATTACAGAAAAGCGTATTTCAAAACAAAAAACTCACCCTTCCAAGCCTGGTGAAAGCTGATCGAGCAAAGGAATTTTGAAAACTTATGACGGTAAAAAGGCGCTGTTATAGCTTAACACTGTTTTCATTGTTCATGAACACCAGTCAAATTCAACAAGAATTCTGAACATATTTTCCTTGCTTTTTATCCATTAAAACTCACTATGCGTAATAGGGTGACTGTTAACGTCTTTAAGTAATTGCATTAACAATGTTCAACAGCTATCATGACAGTATTTGCAGCTCTTAGATCGGTGGGTGCAGATGTACTTGTCTAGTGCAAGAGCAAAAGTGTCCTTCCTTGCTTTGGATCCAGTAACTTCTACGTCCAGCGACAAACATGCCTTTTTCAGTGTATCTAGTCGAAGGGTTTTGATCTTTCCCTCTGTAGCTAGATGACATAAATTATGCCCCTGGAACAAAATTGGGTGATCTGCCTGTACCTGACTTTCTATGACAAGCTGCAACAGTTGTAAGTTTTTGTCCTGAATGTTTGTCTCCTCATCCTCAGTTTCAATACCATGGTTTCCTTCATCAATGTTCTTTGCACGCTGAGACTTTGAGAGATTTGAGAAAAACTTGCAATCTGCTTTGAGGTACGCCACTCAAAAGGTTGGAATAATAAGCCACCAGTCGTGTTTCTTACATGTTTCATTTCATGTTCAACCTGTTTTGGATCTGCTTTGTTGCCTGTCTTTGCTCCATCATTGAACCTTTGGATTAAGTAGTTTCTAACGTCTTCAGACATCCGGCTTGACTTTTGGACGGTCTTAAGCGCCCATCCCTCAACTGCTTCTTGGCAATCCAAAACGCCTTCATTACCAGCCTGCATTGGTGGAAAAGTGCGCTGTTTCTGTAAGCTTACGTTTGATAAGATGCTGGCCCACTTTTTCTTGATGACATCGTACGCAGTGTCTTGCTCCTCCACGAAGAGATGGCGTTCCGCATCTAAATGATACTGAAGTTCTTTGTAGGTAGAAAACATCTTAACACATCCTTCTTCCTCACAAGAGAACAGGCCGGGCGAAATGGAGGAATGTCCAGCCACTGAAGCCCCAGAGCAATTAGATGGTGACGAAAACGGATTAAGAACTTTTATTGCTGTAGCTCCTTGAGCATTGGTTGTAAGGGAAGAATACGGATAAAAATGACCTTCCCCAATCTGATATGCTTTCCATGCCCGAATACCATCATCAAAGAACATAAAATTGTTCAGGTAACTGATACCTGGGATCTTTTTCACCTGTGAATTTTGGGTCGATTTATCAATTACAACGACTGCAAAACGACATCCCCTAACGCCTTCATGAGATTCAAGTGCAATTTTCATTTCTTCCGCAGTAGTGATGTCATGGCCCTCATTTACCCACCGTCGCATGTGGGTTTTCATCGAGGCAATTCTACGGTCGCAAACGTCTTTGCCCGATTGCGGATCAGAGAAATCATAGCGCTTAAACTCCACTCCATGTCTTTCGCCCATGGCTTTGAGACTCAAGAGAAGCTCAGTGTTGTGATAACAACCGGCGTTATCAGAACGTAGGAAAAATTTGGTGATGGATGGGTCTTCCATCTTAATTACGCTAAGAACGTGTTCGACTATTGACGCAACGCTGAACCAATCCTGGGTACAGGAGTCAAAGATGTGAACAAATGTGTCCACCTCAACTCTGTCCTCATCTTTGCTAGCTCTCTTAATCGAACAGGTCACATGCCAGCTTCTCCCACGCTTACCATAGAAGTCGTCCATCCTTTCGCGGAACTTCATTGGCAGAAATTTCATTGCCCAGTCCATGATCAAAAGGGTGCTTTCTTTATTAAGGTTAGTTAGGACGTCTTGCTTAGCCTTTTCCTGGACTACTGTGCGAAGCAAATGCGCCTTCCATAAGAGGATGGAATTTGTGGCCTGTTTATGGTCATACTGAGATCTAGCCCTTTGTTCTCCTGTCAAGGAAACGTTCTTATCATTTAACTTCTCATCGATTTTTTCAACTAAACAAGTAAGCCGTGCACATTCATGACAGGATAGTTCATGCTCATGGTTGCATGAACTAGAGTAGTCACTATTATTCGGATCACTGAGCGAAAACGTGGTACAGTGATCTTTACATCTCTCTTTGCTGCCCGTGTGAGTTTTGTAATCCGTCTTCAGGTATCTCTTACCAGCCTTTAGATCCTGTTTGATAGAATTTGCCCAGGTGACATCGACCCCATTATCTTGTAAAACGTTTACAATGGATTTCAACTGATCGAAAGCCTCCGCACCTTCTGTGGCGATGTAATCAAGTCCTTGTAACGAGACCTGCTTTGAAGCAGAGCATGCCTCCAATATCCGGAAGAGTGTACGTTCACTGTATGGCTCAAAAGCTACGCTCTCGCAGTAGCTTTGGTATTGCTTGATGATTCGGGATGGAATCAAAGTTCGTATTGCCGCTGGTATAAGAAGCTTCTCTCCGCTATCCAACTTCAACGACTTTGTACCATATGATACATCTTGCAAAAGGGAAGATGAAGAAATAAAATCTAGAAAGTGATCAGTTTTCGTTGCATCAAGGCGCACTCTAATAATTTCTGGAGCATTGCTTGGTTTTCCTGGTCCTCTCAAGTCGGCGTGTCTGCGGGCATCATCGATTTGTCGTTTAGAAATACCTGGGATAATCTCCATTAGTTGGCTTTTGCTAAATGCATTTACAAACAATGATAGTATTTGCATTCGGGTGTGTCTGTTATCAGCTAACTTGTAAGCCTCCACTAGCCTTTCTGCGATGTCGTCAGGCTTTGATTGAGAAAACGGCATGGACTTCACTGTAGCAAACCACAAATCAGCTTCACTTCCAGGAGCGAGACAGTTGAAAGCTGTTTCAATAACCTCTCTAGCCTTACGCACGTAATAACCCTGTTGCCGCTCACCAAGTTCAGGCCATGGTAACCTCGATGTACTTTGAACTGGACTTACCCTACCTTCAGAAATTTGGACAATTGCATCACTTAGCAAGCATCGTTTTCTTTTCAACTCTTCTGCTTCGTCAATGTAAAGGCTACATTCAAAGCTTGTTTCCAAAGTTGAATCCAGAGAAAAAT